CACCGCTTGTCGATCCTATAGAGGCGCCAAGGTGCGACGTGCTTGGCATCGCATCTTGTCGCCCCCGTTTGTCAATACAATATAACCATGATAGGCGGCCTATCACTATAGGAGTTGATCAACACTCAATATCACCATAGATATATACGCGTGTTTGTATATATCTGTGATATCACACAATATCGCTTCTACGTTCTCCACGCTTTGGCGGAGTCTCATTTGCTGCTGCTGCTACTATGATGGAGCTACGCGACCCCTTCACCCCCCCCCTCCTCACGTCCAGTCCACGTCCACCCCCGCAGTCTGAACAAATTCGTGGGGAGGTGGAAAAATACCATGACTCGCTGAGTAATGGCGAGGGAGAAATGTAGTTCTTAATTAACGTATATAGTGTGAAGGTGGTGCACGAGAGGACGGATTTACTGATGAGGACTCCGCGATGATTTACACACGTTTGAAACTGTTTACATTTATTAGGTTTTCATTGCATTGTTATCTATCATCTAAGGGGTAGTATAGCTCATACTAGGGTCTATGTGACGTCCCCCAGGATACTGCCGGAACGTACCCTGGGTACGGTCCGGTATACCGGTATACCGGAACGTACCCTGGTAACTATCTGATATGGTTAGGGTTAGGGTTAGGGAGTAGGCGTAGGCGACTCCCTAGACTCGTTAATGGAGTAGGCGAGGTACGGTCCGGCATATTAGATAGTACCAGCATAGCATATAAATCACGTTGATTTATATTCTCTGGTACCAGGGTACGTTCCGGTATCCCGGACCGTACCCTGGGTACGTTCCGGCAGAACCCTGGGGGAAATAGACCCTCTCAGCAGTATAGTATACCACCTAGATACCACCATATAGATGCCACCTACCATTTCCCCCTCCACACCCCAGCCACAATTCCGTCTCTATATTAACACATGGCGAATGAGGCGTCGTAAGTTTGGCGACGTAGCGCACAAAGTAAATGACCTAAAAGTAAAGCCGATGTTATTTATTTGTTGCAACCAGCGCAGGGGGGGATCAAGGGGGGGTCGGGGCGGTAAACGGAGCCCATTTTTTACACAAAAAAGGAAAAAAAGCATACACACCACGCACGCACAGACGCAGCCGCACGCGACGCAGCACGACAAACACACACACACAACACACACAAAACACAACATTGGTTATATTGTCTCAATAAGAATTTGTTGGGGAGCGCAAGTATTTTCTGATAAGCTTATCTTACTTATATATGTAAATTCGTTATAAAACTTAGAATTGCAAAGAGGGGTCCGATGCGGAGACGGATCTGAATCACTTTTTGCATTCTAGACATCAAATTACTGCTCAGATGCTCCATTAACAACAACAAACAAAACCCACAAGTTGCTTTCGGCGCCTTTTTAACACCGATAAATAGCAAAAATGCCTTTATTTCTCCTGACACCGTTTTTTTCAAAATAATCTGCATCGCCATGCAAAGGTGGGATTTTTTGGCCGTATCTTAAAGCGGTAATGACGGGGTTGAAGC